ACCAGCCACTCCTCGGAAGGAAGGTTGGGCAATCCTACTTCCGTAGTGATACTGCCTTGGAAACCCAAGGAGGGGTCGCTATGAGTCTGGGCCGACTCGACACTCGACGGCACATAACAACAACAATAACAACATACCCAATGTGAATGACTTCAGCATTATCAGACATTTTAGGTTATCTGAAGAATTCCTTCCTGTAGTACAGATACTAACAATCCAAGAGAACACACAGAGAAATATCGAGTTGAGTATAAGGATAACTTTGCCAGAGGGAATGGTGTATGGTTGTTACAACTTCCTTTTGTAAAGTAAAGACACTTTCTGTCTTACTGCTGGTTAACATTTCTTTAACTTTGGGGCAAGTCTCTTATCTCTTTAGGCTTCACTGTTCCATTGAAGTAAATCAGGAAAATGTCCTTAGTCTGCCTACTCCCAAAGGTTCTTGAGGCCCTTCCTGTTACCTTTATGAATGAAAATACTGGTTGAAGAAATTCATGTAAGTGTCAAAGTGATTATTGTTCAGCAGCGATTTACTGAGTTCACACTCCAGGTACATCACTATAGGCAAGGTAAGAGGGACTTAGGAATGTATAAGCCTTGATCTGGGCTTTTAAAGAATGTATAAGCTTATTTGTGGAAGCAAGACTGGGCAATCTACTTGTGTAAAGATTTACCACCTTGGAAACCCAGTGGGGGTTGCTGTGAGTCAGAATCAATCCACGGGAGTGGCTTTGGTTTTTGGGTTTATAAGCTAACTGGGACAACAATGGGGATATGTGCTTACAAAATGTATAAAAACGATTATAGGAATAAAGTTAGGGAAGGGACCTTTATGGGTGGGGAAAGGCCTGGGAAATGGAGGAAGTGAGATTTTGCTTACTTGGCTGTGGAAAAAGAAGATTTAGATAGAGCAAAAGAGAATATTTTAGAGAAGGGATATTTGGATGGTGAAGAAAATGTAAGGAAGCTAGGGCAAAGCACAGATGGGGGCCGAGTTTGAGGCAAAGAATGAGACCTTTAGCTGATAGGAATGCATGCTATTTGTGTTTTGGAGTTCCATGCATTAGTATTTTTCTGTGAGTTGTTCAGGCTGCAGTTGGGTGAAGAACAGTTGCAGAGGATTGAGAAATGAACTAAAATCTGATATAAATTCCTATGACTATTATGACTGCAGCCGCTGGGTACTCCTGAGCCATCCCAAGAAAACTGTAAGGCTGATAAGAAATGTGGCATACACAAAACTGGTGACAGCATTTTATTTACTGAAGTGCCTCATTACAATGCTTTTTTATATGTTAAAACAGAGAAAATAAAGGCAACATAAGCCTGTATTATCTGGAGTTCTCTTTATTAAGATGCTTAAGTACAAATTTGGCCTAATTAACATATGTTTGATTGATTCCCTTGTATTGGTTTATTAGTAGCTTCCATTCCAGAGCTTGGAGCCCCTGTTGTTGTTGTTATATGCCATGGAGTCAGATCCGACTCATAGTGACCCCTCCTTGGGTTTCTGAGGTGGTATCACTACGGAAGTAGATTGCCCAGCCTTCCTTCCGAGGAGTGGCTGGTGGATTTGAACCGCCAGCACTAAACTACTAATCAAAAAGTTGGTAGTCTGAACCTACTCAGAAGCACCTCCGAAGAAAAGCCTGATAATCCGCTTCTAAAAAAGGTCACAACTCCACCCCTGGTTCAACTGCCACCCCTAGTTGAAAACCCTTTGGAGTTTCAGAGTTCTGCTCTGCACACATGCAGTTGCCATGAGTTAGAATGGCAACTAACAACAATAATGTTCCAGAGCTTGAGTAAAATAAAAAGCAAACTTTGATGGAAGAGGATAGGTGCTTTGCCCACCTGTACCTTGCAGCCTGTCTGGAGCAGCCATCTAAAGCAATCTGTGATTCAGAGGCTGGGCAGTGGGGAGAAGGGGTGGTGGTAGTGGTGATGTCACCAGAGGAGAGACCTTGAGTGATTCAAGGAGCACTTGAGCTTCCAAACTACTCCTTGGATCCAGTGATCTCATGGCATTCCCAGAATAATTCTATGGTGGACATTCAAGAGTAGTAGCATTCCTAATTGTGACAATGGGGAATCTAGGCTGTAGCAAAGTGTCCCCTTCCTTGTAGTTCTTCTCACCTTTTGAGATGCCATCTTCAGCCTTAAGTGGCCAGAGCAAAGAATCTAAAACTCAGATCTGGCTAGGTCATGTCTCTAGTTGGACCCTTCAGTGGCATCTTGCCACCTACATCCAGGTCAGTATGGTACAACAGGTTCTTTATATAGTGGCTTGCTTCACTTCCAGTCTCTCATTCAAACCAGAAAGCCAAACCCACTGCTGAGTCAGTTCCAACTCACAGAGACCCTCATCCAGTTTCCGAGGCAGTAAATCTTTACAGAAGTAGATTGCCCCATCCTCTTTCCACAGAGCAGCTGGTGGGTTT